TTAGATTGTGATGTATGGAGATTTAGCCTTAAACTGTGGGTTGGAGATGTTAATTGCGCTAAACCTGAGCTTTAATCTGGCACCAGGGCAGGATGGACCTGGGAGGCAGTGCCAGGCTTCCTTCCCTCCCAGTGCCATCAGACTAGATAGAGCAGGCTGAGCAAGCAAGACCATTAGAGTTGTCAGACTCTCCAAATGCCACCCTCCCCCGCCACCCCCACCAGGAATTGAAATGCATATTGCTGAGTTCCATTAGCAAGGCAAAGAGAACTCTGCTGGGAGGGTTGCCAGGTTTGGGTTGCTTTTCTTTTTTATTTTTTTTTTAATCCTCAACCGAGGACATTTTTCCATTTTTTGTTCAGATAGAGTGGAAGGGAGAGAGAGGGAGAGAGAGAGAAACATCGATGTGAAGGGACACATCGAGTGGCTGCCACCCGCACGACCAACCAGGGCCAGGGACAAACTGCAACCGAGATACGTGCCCTTAGTGGGAACCGAACCCAGGTCTCTCTGTACCGCAGGTCGACGCTCCAACCTCTGAGCCAAACTGGCCAGGGCTTGGGTTGCTTTTCTACTGTTATGTGCTGAGGTGCCTGAAGCTAGTCTTGCTCCAGGAAGAACTCAGTTATGTCTACACACATCCTTAAACTGTCTCTCCTTAGAAAGCTGCAGAGAAGGCAGCCAGTGCTCCTAAAACCACAAACAGGCTGCTGAAAATTGTAAACATGTTTACTGATAAGCGTCCCCAAACATCGCCATTATAACAGACTAAATACAAGGGCGACTAAGATGCAAACAGCTTGCAGTGGAAACATCTTAATATTTGGAAGTTTCTCGTTTGCTTAAAAACAAAACAAAACCCCAAACTAGGTCCAGATCCTTGATGATTAGCTGGACTGGAGGCAGGAGTATGCTATCCCTTCCTCCACTTCTGCTACCCATCCCCAGCCTGACCCATTTGTAGCCCTACTCCCACCCTTAGGCCCCTCTGGAGAGGGAGTGGCAAGGTCTGGGTGGATTTGAGCTGGAATGGCCCTCTCTCAAGGAGGCTCATCCACTCCACTCCCATCCTGTACCAACTCCACAGACAGGGGCCTGTGAGGCCCAGAGACAAAGCAGCCTTGGCCTGGCAGTAGCACAGAGGGAGACTGGCCAGGGTGGTCTGCTCCCCAGGGATGCTTCCAGGGGCTGGGGCCAAGGGGAAGGTGGGCTTCTAGGCCTGGGAAGGTCACCTTCCTGCATAAAGGGAAGGAACCCTGGCCCTGGTTCTGGCCCCAGCCTGGCCACTTCACTCCCCAGCAACTTCTGCAGCTGCTCAAGTAGGAGTGGGGAGGAGTTCCCCTTTCCTCAGGTGTGAAACCCTTTTGTGATTGCCTGGCCACATTTTTCACAAAATTTTTCTGTCCTTTGTTTATCTTTTTTTTTTTATTAATCAATATATTTATTTTTGTTACAGATGTTTCTCCTTTTTCCCCCACTGATTCCTCCCTCCCCCTCCCTCTCTGCCCTGTCCCCAGCTTTGTTGTCCATGTCCATTGTTCATGCATACATGCATATAAGTTCTCTGGTTTATCTCTCCCCCACCACGCCCTCTTCTGGGCATTGTCAGTCTGTACCCCACTTCCACGTCTCTGGGACTACCCCATTCCTCAGACTGTTATGTTCATTATATTCCACAAATAAGTGAGATCATATGATACTTGTCTTTCTCTGTTTGGCTTGTTTCACTTAGGATGATACTTTCCAGGTCCCTCCATGTATTCTCAAAGGATAAGAGATCTTTCTTTCTTACAGCTGCGTAGTACTCCATTGTGTATATGTACCACTGCTTTTTTATCCATGCGTCTACTGATGGACACTTGGGCTGTTTCCAGATCTTAGCTATTGTAAATAGTGCTGCTACAAACATGGGGGTACATATATTCTTTCTGATTGATGTTTCCGGCTTCTTAGGGTATATTCCTAGAAGTGGGATCACTGGGTCAAATGGAAGTTCAATTTTTATTTTATTTTTTTTGAGGTAACATCATATTGTTTTCCATAGTGGCTGCACCAGTCTGCATTCCCACCAGCAGTGTACTAGAGACCCCTTTTCTCCACACCCTCGCCAACACTTGTTGTTTGATGATTTGTTGATGGCGGGCATTCTGACAGGTGTGAGGTGATGCCTCATTGTTGTTTTAATTTGCATCTCTCTGATGATTAGTGATGTTGAGCATTTCTTCATATGTTTCTTAGCCATTGGTATGTCCTGTTTGGAGATGTGTCTATTCAGCTCCTCTGACCATTTTTTTTTTTTTTTTTTTTGAATTAATTTTTTGTTTTTATTGATTTTTTTTTAGAGAGAGAGGGAGAGAGTTAGAGACATCATTCGTTGTGAGAGAGAAATATCAATCGGCTGCCTCCTGCACGCCCCCTACTGGGGTTCGAGCCTAAAACTTAGGCTTGTGCCCTGACTAGAAATAGAACTGGGATCTCTCAGTCCATGGGACAATGCTCAATCTACTGAGCCACACCAGCCAGGCCTTACATTGATTTTAGAAAAAAAATTTTTTCTTTATTGATACTAGAGAGAGAGGAAGTGAGAGGGAGAGAGAGAAACATTGATTGGCTGCTTCCTGCATGCCCCCCACTGGGGATCTGGCCCACAACCTGGGCATGTGCCCTGACCAGGAATTGAACTGGCAACCTCTTGGTGCATGGGTCGATACTCAACCACTGAGGCGGTGGGCTGGGCCCTTAAATTAATTTTTAAGATTTCTTACAAAAATCCTTTTCCGAGTACAATTTATTACAACTAATTGGGTTGAGCTCATTAAAATTTTAAAGTAGTCATCCTATTTATAACAGACTTTCACCTAGATCAAGTTAGATATTTCCAGGCACCTACTATTTGATAGGCAGTGATTTGGGGTCATGGTCACTGGCAGTAAATAAACTTCCTGCCCTGGTGGAGCTTACATTCTCATGGACATGGATTTTGTCATGTCTTTTGCTAAGGTGCTGATCTTTATTTTTAAGGCCTCTATCCTGTGTAGATTTTAGTGAAAGTGAAGGTTCTGACAAACTTATAATTGGCTCTTACAGGGTTTCTCTGTGGTGCATTTTCTTAAGAATTGTGACTTGGGGGGGGGGGTACGTGCCCCCAGTGGGAACCAAACCTGGGACTCTCTGGTCTGCAGGCCGACGCTCCAACTGCTGAGCCAACCCGGCCAGGGCAAGAACTGTGGCATTTTTAACTCTGCCAGAACACTGGCCACATTATGTACTCTATGATGAACCAGAAGATATGAACACTTACTAAAGCTATTACCACATGCAAAGCATTTGTAGTGTTTCTCTCTAGTATAGCTCTCTAATGAGCTTGAAGACTTGAGGTGTGACTAAAGTTTTTACTGCACATGCCACATTTATAGGGCTTCTCTTCTGTGTGGCTCCTCTGATAAACATGAAGACTTTCCCACACACAGCACATTTGTAGGATTTTTCTCCAGCGTGGACTTGTTAATGATCTTGAAGACATGAACTGTGACTAACACCCTTACCACATGTCTCACATTTTTATGGCTTCTTTCCTGTGTGGACTCTCTGATGAATTTGCAGATTTGATGTCTGTCGGAAGCTCTTACCACAAACACCACAGTTATAGGGTTTTTTGCCTGTGTGGATCCTCTGATGAACATGGAGATACCAGTTCCTGTTGAAGCCTTTTCCACACTCCTCACATTTGTAGGGTTTCTCACCCGTGTGGACTCGTTGATGGGATTGAAGATTTGAACTCCGACTGAAGCTCTTACCACACGCAGCACATTTGTAGGGTTTCTCTCCCGTGTGGACTCGCTGATGGGCGTGAAGACTTGAGGCATAACTGAAACTCTTACCACACACAGCACATTTGTAGGGTTTCTCTCCAGTGCGGACGCGCTGATGGTATTGAAGACTTGAGGCATAACTGGAGCTCTTACCACACACAGCACATTTGTAGGGTTTCTCTCCTGTGTGGACGCGCTGATGGGCTTGAAGCTTTGAACTTTGACTGAAGCCTGTCCCACACACAGCACATTTGTAGGGTTTCTCTCCAGTGTGGACTCGCTGATGGGCCTGAAGATTTGAACTCTGACTGAAGCTCTTTCCACACACAGCACATTTGTAGGGTTTTTCTCCTGTGTGGATCCTCTGATGAACATGAAGACACGAGCTCCATCTGAAGCATTTCCCACACTCTTCGCATTTGTAGGGTTTCTCTCCTGTGTTGATATTCTGAAGAATTTGCAGATGTGAGCTTTGACTTAAGTCCTTACCACACTCATCATTCCTATTGCATTTCAATTCTCTGCAAACACTTTGATGAGTGCAGAGCGCCAAGCTATAACTGACACCCTCCTGACACTCACTATGCATATGAGGTTTTGTTCCTCGGTGCAACTGTTGATGAAGTTCAACACTGGAGCCAAGGCTGAAGCTTTTCCCATTCTCATCAGAGATTTGCTCTCCTGAGTGGATTACACTATGCTGCAATGACTTCTTCATGAAGTCTTTTCCACAATTCTTGTGGCTATAAGACTTCTTGCCTTTGTGTACTTCCCAATCATCATCATGGTCATGAGAGGTCCTTCTCCTAACACAGTGATCACACTTGCACAGCTTACGTTTTCCCTCAATATACTGACACCGACTCTGATAATTCTTTGACTGTCTCAAACACAATTTCTTCCAGAAATCCCAGGTGGTCTTAATTGGAAACTCTTGATTTTTTATACTACTGGAACTTTGAACTTCCCCTTGAAGGTTTATTACATAGTTCTCATCTTCAGAAACCTGAGTAGATTCTCCTGCCCACAACCAACAGGAGGAATCACCTTGTTTTGGCAAATCAGATTCTTTGCCTTGCAGATTCATTATCAAGTCTGGATTTCTGGTTAACTTACTTATAACTTGTTCCCATATTTGCCAGCACACAAGGTCTTCATGAAAAAGGTATATTTTTAAAGACTCTTCAATTTTTTGAAGAGTCTCTATCTCATTTTGATTCCAATGTCCTGGAAGGATAAGGAGAATTCAGAGATGAAAATGAGGACAAATAAATGTCTGTTCAGAGATAAAAATATTTCATTGGTCCACCACACTGGCTTTGTCATTGGCTTTTTCATGCCCACTGAGACCAGGTTCCTGAAGTTCTCCAGCATCACGTCTTGGTACAGTTTCCTCTGGGACAGGTCCAACAGCCCCAGCTCCTCCTTGGTGAAGACCACAGCCACATCCTTGAAGGTCACCAGCTCCTGACACTTAGTCATATTCTCCTGGTCCTCCTGGGGAAACACAGAGTCCTGACAGCTGCTCATGTTCATGGGTCATCCCAGTTCAGGCAGAAGTACTCTAGTAGGAATGAGAGCAATGAATCCACTTCCCAAAGCCTAGAAGAAATATCTCCGGGCCGGTATTCTCTGACCATTTTTTAATTGGGTTCTTTGTCTTCCTTTTGTTGAGTTGTATGAGCACTGTCTACATATTGGAAATTAACCCCTTATCTGATATATCATTGGTAATTATGCTCTCCCATACAGTGGGTAGCCTTTCTGTTTTGATGATTGTATCTTTCGCTGTGCAGAAGCTTTTGAGTTTGATGTAGTCCCATGTGTTCATTTTCTCCTTTGTTTCTATTACCTTAGGTGATGTATCAGTGAAAATTCTGCCGCGTATGATGTCTGAAATTTTGTTGCCTACAGTTTCTGCTAGGATTTTTATGTATTCATGAGTCACATTTAAGTCTTTTATCCATTTTGAGTTTATTCTTGTGTAGGTGTAAGTTGATGGTCTATTTTCATTTTTTGCATGTAGCTGTCCAGTTTTCCCAACACCATTTATTAAAGAGGCTGTCCTTAGTCCACTGTATGCTCTTGCCACCTTTGTCAAATATTAATTGAGCATATTGCCCTTTGTTTATCTTGATCCTCACCACCAACAACCCAATTAACATGAAAGAACATAGACCTTGCAAGCTGTTCCATAGCTACTCTCAAGGCACACCCTCCCCCCCACCCCAGCTTCCCACTCCCGGCGTCTTGGGGAAGTCTGTGACTACCGATTATTTCTGACTTTCAAGGATGGAAATATACCAACTCTTTTATCCAGAGATTCATGGCTGACTGTGGAGGGTTAAAACACAAATCACAGTTTCTGAGCATGCTAATAAATAGATGAAGTCAAGCAAACAATTTCTCCGCTGGCCTCCCAGCACCTTGGTGGACCCATTGTTCTACCCACCTCACTAATGTGCCCACCAGTTTCCCTGGGCATGCTCTCATTCTGCCAAGGCCAGGAGAAAGCTGGCAAAGTGGGCTAAAAATAACATGAACAAGAGACAGAAAAGAAGGAACGACCATCCAAGCAAAAGACACTGGGGTACGGACCAGCCCTATACCCAGGAGCCTGCACTGGGTTGTCCAGGAGGTGTTTGGTCTCTCTGGACTCTCTAGGTGTGCCAACACTGGCATGGCCCTGGGGAGGAGGGAAGACATGCTAGAAATAGTACTTTTTATCATGCCAGTTGTGGGAGAGTACTCTGTCCCTGGAGCTGCTATGGGACTGGAAGAGTGGGGACAAAAGGGCTCAAGGCTGGCAAGGTCTTTCATCTCTGTGCAGCAGGCAGCCAGTGCTGGCCCAGGTTGCCCATGGGGCTCTGGTGCACCTGGAGCCCAGAGCTGGTTGGTCCCTGGGAGCATGTATCAGCCAGGACTCAGGCCCAAGCTGCAAACAGATAGAGAGACCAGGTCCACAGGAGGCAGAGATATGCTCAAGGTCACATGCAAGTCAGGGTGGCCCTGTGTCCTTGTATCTTTGGCCATGGATCTCAGCAGGGCCTCTCCAGGCTCCCATGGGATCTGGAGGACTTGGCAGCCCCATCCAAGACCACCAGAAGTAATAGGTCTAATGCTGGGGCTGCCATAAGATTTTCTCCTTGGGGACTCTGGTCATTTGCTGAAGATGGCAGCTGCTGAGCACTTGGTCCCCAAGAACACAGGACACATCTCAGAAGCAGCTACCCTGGCCACAAGTTGGCCCTGGTAATGATTGAAGAGGCATTAAAAATGGGTGCCCAGAGAAGCCATGGGCAACTTCCTCCCTCACTCACTCTCTCCTCTCCTCTCTTCCCAGACTGTCAGAGGACTTATTCTCCACAAGCAGGAGGGCACTGCCATTTGCAGGCCAGTAGTTTTCCCAGACTCCCCTAGTGTAGGACCTCTCTGCAAAGGAGAGTAAGCTACACTGGTCACTGGTCTACCAGGCCTACTGATAACATTCGTGGTGTTTTTGATGTAACCAGCAGCAGATTTAGTGGCAGAATCCCATACCACCACATCACAAAGACCGCTCAGCTGTGTTCCCAATATGGCAGGAATGCACTGCTGAGACATAGCCTTCAGTCCAAACCTCTTCTCCCCACTGAGCTCTCACCTGGTCATCTGAGGGGAGCCAGCAAGAGGCAAGAACCACAGGATATAAGACAGGCCTTGAAAAGTGAGACCTCCACAGGATGAGCCTGATGATATAGGCACTAAGGCAGAAAGAGACCAGCCTAGCGGGGGGGGGGGGTACCCCGCTAGGGGCAGGCAGTGGGGCTCCCAGGACTTTCCCAGTATAGTAGAAGGACATGAAGCCCTAGGCACAAGGCTCTATTGATCTGGAGAGGATTGGTTGAACCAGAACCTGGTGGCCTTGGTGACAAAGGAGAGGTTGAAGGTGCGAGAGGAGGCCAGCATTCCCTTGAGTTTCGAGGACAAGCCTATCAGCCCTCCTTCTCTCCTGAGCACTAGAGTTGTATATCCAACAGTATGCTGGACATGTCCACCTGGCTATTCCTCAGTCTCTTCCTACCAACCATGGTCAACCATGAAGTTTAGCCTCTGGCCAACCTACCAAAGACCTCTGAGATGGTCCTTGAAGGAAGTGACCCAATCTCTGTCTGGAGCCCAGACTAGTCTTTCCAAGTTCTTCCTGGCTTCTTCCCCAGGACAACCCATGGACTCAACAGCTGGATCTTTTGCCTTTCATCCCAGACCCCATCTCTGCTCGTCATCTAGCAATGGCGTCACCAGCACTAAGTGTCAAAGCTGATCCCCTGTTGGGTCTTGGCCTCCTCATTCTCCTCCCACCCCCTCATATTTTATGTCTGTGCACTGATGGGAAGCCTTGAATTTCTGTCTTAAGTACATTGAGTGGCTTTGCTGGGCCTCCCTGTTGTTGGCATTCAACTTGGGCCATGCTACAGTCACATTTTTCAGGCAGTAGAATTCAAACTATAGAAATAACCAATTAGAGCTTGTTTGATGTGTGTATTTATTCTATTATTCGTGACTACTTCTGGTGGTTTTCTAGTAACCAGTTGTTTGACTGGCCATTGACCTTTTCCTTAAGCTGGTTTCTTTCAGTGTCAGGTATAGTTTCAGTGTCAGGAATGACGCCAAATGCCACAGCTTCCCATGGGCCCCACTTGCTTAGATTCAAAAAGGTCAGCTCTTTGAGCCTTTTGGAATGGAGGATTTCTTTTCAGCTGCCTGTGGAATTGACCTCCATGAAAACTGAGAATTTTTATGACAAGCATGGCCCCATAGTTCATTGGATCACAGCTCTACCTTTCTTATTTGCTTTTTAGGGAGTGAAGTTTGGAAGGAACATGGTCTTTGATTTCTTCTTAGACTACAAGGCACGTTGTCTTCAAAATGCAAAAAGAAAAGATCAGGAACCAAACACTAGACCCTTGTCTGTGAAAAGGCTGCTGTTCTACATGCCTAAAAAAGCTGCTGACATCTAAAAAGAAGTAAGTTGGGTGCAAGACAATTACGCTGATGCAGGTCCTCCGGATTTTCAGTCCATTCTTTTTAAACTGCCTCAGTGTCATCTGAGCACTGGGAAATAAAATTGAACCCAAGGATTTCCCCAGCTATCAAAATGAAATTTTCACTTCTATAATTAGAATCCCAGAATGTCAGGGATGCTAGGGCCTTTAAGATCAGCTGGCCCATTCCCATAATGGGACTGGAAGCTGGATTGGGAGGCCCAGCTTGAGGCTTATCCCCTACTTCCCTCCCTGATACAACCTTTCCTGCTATAGCTTCTGCTACTACTTCTTTCTATCATGTTTATCTTTTCTCACAAATATAGTAGGTGCTCAGTAGGTCCTTGGTGAGAGGAATGAGACCTCTTCTGCAGTTTCCCAAGGTACAGGACTTGGATCCACTAGACAGTTAGCCTTTTCAGTAAGTGGATATCAATTTTATTTTTTCTCTAGAGACCCCAACACTTACAGTATAACACACAGCACCTCCACCTGGTTTTGAATGCTCTTGGTGATCTGGTCTCAATATCATCTGGCAGCTTTCTCACTGGTGTCTTACATTCCTCTATGCCTGACAACTCTGTTCCCTAAACACACTATGCAATTTTCTACCCTTCAAGCTCCAACTGTTCCCTCACACCAAAATGCTGTTCAATTCTAGCTATCTACCAAGACCTTTCTCTTTTGTCAAATCCTATCTTCAGGATTCTCTTTTCTGTGAAACATTTCAATGTTTTCTCTCCTTCCCCTACAATATACTCATTTATATCATAGATATTTTTACAGGCAACCATCATGTGCCAGGCACTGTTCTAGGCACAGGGAATACAGCAGTGAATAAGACAGAAAAACCTCTGCTGTCACAGAGCTGATATTTGAGTGGAGGAAGAGAGGCAATAAAGGAGACAAGTAAATGATGCAGAATTTTAGAGGTGAAATTTACTTTTCCTTCTGTATTCCCTGGATATTCTTACTTCTGTGTTTTCCCATTTTCCTCTGCCCTGTGGTGTGGTTACTTTGTTTGCACTTCTGTCTCACAGTCACTAGGGGATTGGTTCCATGAGAGTAGGGCCAAGGCCTGATCTTCTTTGTAGCACCAGGCCCACAGCAAATACTCAACATAATGTCTGTGAAATGAGTGACTAAATGAATAAGTGAGTAAGTGAATGGATAAGTGAGTGGATGGATGAGTGAGTGAGTGAGTAAATGAGTGACAGAAATGAGTATCTAAGCTCAGAAAACCTGTGTGTTTTGGCTTTTCTGAAACAAGTCTTCTACACTGAAAGGTTGGATAGCTTGAGCACAGGGTTTTTGAAACCCAGGAGAAGAGTTAACCTTAGCTCTCACACCATTGAACAAATGAGAGGTGGCTACAGAAACTCAAGGTCTCAACTTCATGGTCCATGACACTTGAGCCTCATTTGACTGTGGACTCTGTCTTTCAGTGGAACATGTCTCCAAGGGCCTAGCCTTACTGACTCAACCCCTCATGCCCAGGATATAATCACACAGTAATTT